GTGTCCTTAGTAAATGCTTTTTGAATTCTAGATGAATAGGAAATAGACTCTTCTAATGTGATTGATTTTACATATAAGAAGATGAGTAAGGCATAAATAACATATTCTATTTTTTCCCTCTTGGTAATTCATTTAATCATTACTTTTAAAATAATGGGCATATAGGGACCAAATCCTTACTGCGTACCAGGAACTGAGAATCCACGAGGCACAGAAAGCTAAGATAGAACATGATTCCTGTCCTCAAACACCTGAGCTCTGGGTGAGGCCACATACTGTAAAATGGTGCCACAAAATTGGGGTCTGTACAGGATCCCATTGGATACAGGGTGAATGTGTCTGTTTTATCAGGGAATTGCAAGCCATTTGGGGTAGCTGGTACTGAGAGGACTTATGGGGAGTGGTAGGAGATGGGGTTCGTCAAAATGTTTTCTAGGTCTGGGTGTGCCTCGTCTATCAGAACAGCCACATTGGAAGTTTAAATGTGTGTAAAATGCTGTATCTTTAATTGATGGAAACAGAATACTGGTTTTATTTTAACAATTTGTTCTAAAAATTCTCTATAATAGGAATGATAACAGGAACATTATATTTTGTATAATTGTACTATATTTTAGTTTATAATACTTTTGACCTTAACTTATTGGTTAATCATAATAATAGTTCCTTCCATTTAATGAGCCCATACTACTTTCTAGGTATTGCATCTGGCACCTGACACAGGGTACTTTATTTATTCCTAATTAGAACGTTTTGTATCAGGGACCCAAGTTTACCACTATGGGGTGCCAAGATGGGGAGAAGCAGATTAAGTTCTGTGAGGTCAAAGAACATTACATTTTTTTTTTTTTAATTTTTGAGAGAGAGAGAGAGAGAGAGAGAGAGAGAGAGAATGGGGGAGGGACAGAGAAAGAGGGAGACACAGAATCTGAAATAGGCTCCAGGCTCTGAGCTGTCAGCAAAGAGCCCAATGTGGGGCTCGAACTCACAAACTGCGAGATCCTGACCTGAGCCCAACTCGGACGCTTAACCGACTGAGCGACCCATGCGCCCTGGTCAAAGATCTCTAATCCATCTATCCATTATATCTCTAGCATCTGGCATGGCGCCTGGTACACAGCAGGAATTTAAGTGACATCTAACTAACTAAATGAAATGACTTGCCCAGGGTGGTATCACTAGTAAGTGGTGGGGTCAACACAAAGGTACTTGATTTTGACAACTTAGATTTGATATAATCATGGCTGGAGAAAGTCTATTTTCTATAATGTAGAAGAGAATCAAGCTCAACATATGTCTTTTTGGCCAAAGACCCTTTCTAGAAAGGAATGGGCCCTTGGTAATAATTTGATTTTCATTTCTCAAGGAGGTTGAGTCTTTGGTGAGACAGTCTTCAGCGGTATGTAAGACAGTCAAAACTCTTTACCCCTTTCTCACCGACATGGATGTGATGAGAAAAGCAAATAGGATGAAATGTGAAACACATCATTCCTGCTTCCCTTTTCTTCTCTTATAGCTAAGTCTCTGTGACCTTTTACCTTTCATTTGTGTTGGATTCTGGCCCAAAAGGATTCAGGGGGACTAATATTTGCTGTAGCAGTGAGACATGAAGAAGCTCCAAAGGTAGAAATAAAGGTATCATGTTTCTAAGAAATCTTTCTTTTCATTCTTAGTTTGACCAAACAGCCTCTAGCTGAATATGTTCTATTATTTTTTCAGCTGTTGGCCTTGGAAGTAATTTTAATTGAGGCCAGGTCATCAAGAATTTGGGGAAAATGTACCTATCGAAAGAACATTTTTTGGGACTTTTCAGTTTACTCTTTTTTAAAATAATAATTTTCTTCCTAATGGACTTGATTGAATAGTTCATCAAACAGTTATTGATTGCTTACTATATGTGAGGTCCTGTGTTGGGTGCTGGGGGTACAAAGATGACAAGACACAGCTCTTGCTTTCAAGGATGAGGTGGAAATAGAATTGGAGGCAGATCATTGTTGTACTTGCCGTGTGCAAGACCCTCAGTGGGGCGGCGGGGAACATGCAAACGCCTATGGGTGTACAAAAGAGGTGAGAACAGAGGCCACAGATAACTTCCCATCACTGGTGACTTGAGGCCAGGAGAGTGCTAGAGACTGAATTTGTCCTCAGAGTTCATATGTTGAGATCCTAACGTCTAATGTAATGGAATTAGGAAGTGGGAACTTTGGTAGCTGACTAGTTTATGATAAGAGCAGAGCCCTCCTGCATGGGAGTAGTGCCCTTATAAAAGAGACCCAAAAGGGCTCTCTTACCCTTTCACCCAGGTAAGAATACACATGGGAAGTCGGTAGTCTACAACCCAGAAGGGGGTCTTCACTAGAACTTGACCGTGACGGCACCCTGATCTTGGACTTCTCAGCCTCCAGAACTATAAGAAGTAAATTTCTGTTGTTGACAAGCCACCTGGTCTGTGTCACTACATTATAGCCACTTGAACTAAGACAGGGAAAGTAAAGGAGAAGGGAAGGTCTTCCTGGAGGGGCAAGTTCACCTGCTGGGTATGAACGGGTGAAGGGTCCCCCAGCTCCCAGGCAGCAATCTAATACCTCCCACCTCATCACTTTGATGACCAACAGCTCCCAGATTTTAGAACCAGATTTATTGCTGTATTATTATGGTTTGTTTTATATTTACCAGCTGAAAGGGGCCAAATGGAATTGACCTAGATGGTCCTCAGGTGGAGAAGCTGAAACTCTCTTCTTACTCCAAGGGCAGCTCACTGATGTGTGCGCCTCCCATGTTGTCCTCAGACCGGGCTCTGAGGAGCTGATTTGTCTTGGGTCATTTATCTTGAGTCCGCAATATTGTTCATTGCTCCCACAGTCTCTTCTTCCCTTTTATTCCCTCCCTGTTTCTATTCTGTTGTTCAACCCATACTGATATTATCCCCAATTTCTTCTAAGAAATGTGGCACAAAGGTTAATGCAAACCTGAGTACAAAGACTTTGGGGCAGAACTTTTGAGTATTTCCGTCTATCATTAGAGGCTGAAGGATCCCTGGAGATCCAGAGACTTGGTAACACGTTCAGTAATCTGACCGACTCTGCTCTTGGGTCCTGATTTCAGCCGAGTTTACCAGTTGGAATCCATGATCATCAACATGTTAGACCAGTCTTGAGTCTGAGAATGCCAGCGTAAGTTTGCCTCATGATTAGACACCAAGGGCAGGTAGCAGTCATTGAGAAACCCTGAAATGGCAAAGTTAGGGAACTGGGTTTTGAAAATGAGTCACCCAAACATTTTCTTTCCAAACATCTGCAGGTTGTTAGCCTGATTTATTTTGAATTAAAAAATCTTTTTGAGCTGGCTGACAGCTTATTTTAATTCCCAGCTGTTAAAATGTTTCAGCAATTGGAATTAGGGGCTGTGCCATTGCTTTTGATGTGGTGGGAAGCAGTTCAGCACTCAGGTACACCTGGGGGACCTGCCCCTTCTCATCATGGTCCTTCAGTTTTATTCCTTCTGTTTAAGAGCTTGGTGCTTTGAGCTCTTTGTTTACGATCTATTTGCTTGGGTCTTATAGCCCTGGTGGCCAAGGGAGTTTAGCTCACATTCCAGGCTGTGGTGGCTTTTATCCAGGACCTAGCACTTTGTGGCTGCCTTAGATTCTTTCTGGAACAAGTTTGGGGAATAAGCAAATACATAAATAAGTTTATATTTAATTGACATTGCCTCTTCCTCTCCCCAAATATGCTGAAATAAATTTGCTACTCAAAGTCATGGTTCTGATAAATGTTTTTAAGATTTTTCTGTAGATTGTTGGCTTGGTAAGGGCTTTTGACTTGTTCCCCACTTTTCTGTGGTTGTGGGTGAACACCTCTTATTTTTGCTGTGATTTTGGAGAGGGAAACCTGGGACTCAGTCTCCTCTCTCCAGTTCCTACCCAGCACAAACAGGGACACCGCCACCACTATCTACTACTCCCATCACCATTTATTACTACCATCAGCACCAAAAAGCCATTCCTTGGCACTCTGAACTCTCCTGGCATAACATCCTATTATTCATATTATTTTTATTGTCAAATTCCCCCCCGCCCCAAATTATCTATACTAGCTAGCTACTTACACCTCTTTAGCTCACTGTTATGCCTCATTTTTTTTTTTTCCATATCCATTGTGGCTTATTTCCACCACTCTGTTGAGAGTGGGCTCTCAAAGGTCATCCATAGCTATTTAATTGAGAGTCAGTCCTCTTGTTATCTTCTTCACTTATTATCTGACCTCTGTGTACCTGTGTGAAGGGAAACTTTGAGACCAAAAACTAGAATGACAGAGTGGAACATTAAATACTAGAGTAGGGGTTTAGGGCTTTATTCAGTAGGCATTGGGCGATCCAATCCTGCTTTTAATCTATGTGAAACTGAGCAGTGAGTAGATTTATCCAAAAATGAGGAAGTGGGTAGAATATTGTCACAATAGTCTAGGTGGAGAAAGGTACTGAGGGTATAAATGAGAATAATGATACAGAGAATTGAATGTTAAGCAGGTTGGAGAGATAAGCAGGTTGAAAGAGTCTAATAGAGACGATTAAAGGTTGATGAAATACGTGGAGGGAAAGTGGAAGAGAGCCATAGCCTTTCTTACTTGTGTCCCTCATTTTTGACCTTCACGTTTTTACTCATATTCTCTCTTTCTATAATGTCCTTTCTCAGGCATCTCATCTCTGTTTGTTGAACTTCACTCTTCTTATCTCTGAAAATATCATTTTTATGAACTCTTTCTTTATCACCCCAGGTGGATATTACCTCTAATTTCTAAGGATTCTGTAGTACTTTATATATCTTGACTTTTATCTCATTATCTTAGCATGACAGTCTCCTCAGTCTGCTTTTAGGCAGATGGCATGTGGTTAAGGGTGTGACAGAGGCATAGGAACGAGGAAAGTGAAAAGGACTGTTGGTAAGTATAAGGTTATGTGGTCTAATGACCAAGGTGAAATTGCAACCTTCATTTCATGGGTGGTGTGGATTTGGATTTCTATCATGTTTTTACTCTTTTCATTTTCACTTGTGACAGAGTTTTACAGTTTGGTTCTCAGGAGCTTACGTTAGAATAGAATGAATAGGAGGCACTTATCCTTTGGCAAATATTACTCAGCTTTCCACATCTCTCCATGAACTGGAAGAGGGTGCTGAGTCTTCTTCCTAGAAATTAAAAAAATTTTTCTGCTTGTGATTTTACATTCAACAATTCACTTCTATTATCTCCTGAGAATCTTTCTGAAGAATTTATTCTCCTGTGGCTGAATGCAGCATAATTGGTTTTCTAGAAAGATGCATTCAGACCCAACAAAACAATATTTTTTCCCCAGTAGTCTTTTCTTTCTCTAAAGAACTTCGTGTTTGGACTCTTTAGAAAAATGCAATATTGAGTGTTTGAGTAATACATTGAGGCAAATGAATATTTTCTGTGTCTACCCTTTTATTTTAAATGTGACTAAACTTTGAGAGTCATTTCAAAAGCGTAGGGCAATATTTCTAGTTGGATTCTCCCAGAGGCGGTTGAAATGGGAATGAGTTACAGGGGTGCTTTTTAAATGACACATTATGACACATCCACACATTAAGAAGATGACTGGCTTTCTGTTTTTCCTCTTTCTCTCCATTAATGCGTAAGCTGCTTTTGCCTCTTTCCAATAGTGACTCTGATGTTTTGTCTCATCCCTTTTTTTCACATGACAGATAGGGTTTCACAGAATTTATTACAAATGCAAATTTTGGTGCAAAACGCTAATTTCCGAACCATCTTCAAAGATTCTGTTCAGGAGTTCAGGGCTGGAGTCCCATTTTCAATATCCACCCCCACCACCGCATCTTCCCTAGGGGACTTGGACGCAATGGGCCACGCTCTGGGAAACACAGGAGTGGGCCAACTAACTGAGCATCGCCTTTCACCGCACGGTCAGTCGGCAGTGGCCATGGCTCACGAGGGAACAACCACTACATTTAGATCTGTAAGTTCTTTCTAACCCATCTCTTCTGAAGAGAAATTATAGGGCATATATCCAGTTACAGCTCAGTACCTATGAACCGAGAGGATTCTCTCAAGTTACCTGCCCTCATAGCTTTTAACCTCTTACTCTTGGGTTGTGACTATCTTGTTTACCTCAGGGAATCTTCAGATAGCCTTTTAAAAAAACATTCCAAAGAGTAAATTAAATGTAAAGAGTATTTTGGGGCACCTGGGTGGCTCATGTCGGTTGAGCATTCAACTCTTGATTTCAGCTCAGGTCGTGATCTCATGCTTTGTGAGTTCGAGCCCTGCTTTGGGCTCTGTGCTGACAGTGCAGAGCCTGCTGGAGATTCTCTGTCTCCGACTCTCTCTCTCTGCCCCTTCCCTGCTCTCTCTCTCTCTCTCTCTCAAAATAAATAAACATAAAAATACTTATTAAAAGTAAAGAGTATTTCACATGGTATGCGGGTATCAGTGAAGAATTTGGACTTAAATGACCCTGAAATTCTACAATTCAATAAATGTTCTCTATAATATTATATTCTATACTGTATAAAAATATGTTAAAAGGACATATTAAAATACAGTAAGACCTCTTTCTCTGAGAGAATGTGCAGCTAAAGTTATGAATTTATTTCTCGTCTCTTTGCAGCCTTCCCTTTACCTTTTTTGTGTGAAATAACTTGCCTTTGTAATTTACCTTGTTATGATCTTGGTGCCTAAATGTTACAACGATTATGGGTACCTGGGCTGGCTATTGGCGTTTTTTGTTAACTTATAAAGGAAACCGAGACAAAGTCAAAATGTCGGAACCAGTTTAATGATGGGATCCCAGTTATGGCTGTATGTACAACAAAGACACAGGGAACTAGGTGCTATTCATTAGGACACTCCGTCAAGTGTGTTAAATAGCTACTGTCATTTCATCCTCCCTCCCCCATTTTATTCTTATTTGAGTCATACAAGGTAAGTGTAACCACTTCGGTTTTACAGAGCAGACAGCAGAGACTCCGTGACTAACCTGCCTTGACCACCTTGCCTGCCTTGACCACCAGTGTCAAAGGCAAAACGTGGAACTCGGGCTTACCTGACGGCGAAATCTGTCCTTCTCCCAGCCTACTGTGCCGCTCTGATGCTTAATTCAGTTTAGGGAAACCAAGTGAATCAACGTAGATTTTGTTCTGATTCTGGAGAGGAGCAGACTCTTTTATAAAGTGACCAGCAGCTGATTGCCAGTGGCCACACAGAGCTCGTGGTTTTTCTAGGGTGGCAGGTATGTAACAGCGGAGAGTGGGACAAAATCAAGACAGAGCAGAAGTAGCTATTTGAAGGGTTTCAAAGCCCTTGACCGACACTTGCCTCCTGGGACCGTTTTGATCTCACTCCTTTTCTGTCACCCCTTTCTTTTCAAGACTTAACTCACCCCAGCCCTAACCCTTCCTGCTGGTGGGTGCCCCATTCACAAGGGAGCAGATACCAGATGGGAGAAGTTGAAGAGACAGCTGTTGGGCGATTGTTCTTATGAGTTATGTCCTTGGTCTCTTGGTTGGAGGGCTCCGATCTGAAAGCTTGCTTCAAATCCACTGAGAAAGTAGCATGATTTAAGTGGTGGCCTGGAGAGGGCTGGGGGCGGGGGCCGACAGTGAGGACTAATTTGTTCTTTAAGTTTATCTAATGGTTTGCAAGGGTGGAAATATCTGCTGGGGAGATGTGATGGATTCTCCTAGGAAACTGACTTCACCAGATAATTCTTTAGAAACTGTTCTCAGAAGCGAGACAAGTGGTGTGAATCTGCTGACACAGGGAATCAGCTCTGTGTCTGGGACCGGGTCACAGACCCCAAGGCGTGCCTGTCGCGATACAACGGGGATGATTTTTCAGAGGGCAAACGCTCACGCTGAGTGACTTTCAAAGCTGTTCCAGGGCATTTCTCAGGCTTTTCAACTCTGGATTCTCTTTCCCACGGTGCAAGGGCCAAGAGAAGGGATCCTGGGCTCTCTTCCCTGGCCCCCAGGATGGGAATTCAGGGGGAAAAGGTCACCTATTTTCATGCCACAAAAGAAAACGTATTCATCAGTTTTTGAGCAAAGGAGCTTCAGTCTGCAAATAGGGGAATTGCTAAGAGCTCATGAGCTCTCTTCCCCAAGCTGGTGCTGTAATGGGGGCGAAGGGGGGCGCGGATGGTGTTGTCCTCCTTCAGGTGAGAAGGGAGTGTTCTGGACTTCTCTTGATAAAACCCCTTCCAATTCCAGTAAAAACATGCGCTCCAAAGCCACCATCTTTTTTTTTTTTTTTTTAACTATTTACTGGAGGGATTCTGAGAGAGAGAGAGAGCACAAACAGCTGAAGTGGCTTCGCGGTCACTTCTCCTATTGCTTTTCTTGCTGGAGAATATTTCACATCACAGGATTTTCCTTCTCCTCTGTGCTGTTGATCCACCCAAGATCTTCACATCCTCCCCAACACAGATTAAAGATGACACAGGGTGGGGGAAAAAACAGGAGGAAATTGCGTTTGAAAGTTTTGTTCCATTTGTATGACCAGCAATGAAAACTCTTTGTGGTCCCCACCCCAGATTGTAGCAGCAGGGCCCCGAGGCTGCCCGGCTATGAATTCATTTCCAGTCCAGCCAGCTAAGACAACGCTCATATGAATTAATGGGCCTTGCTGGACCTCGCCTCCCTCTACTCACCTCACTAAGCCCAGCCCCAGTCTACAGTGGCTGCACATAGGCGCACACATCACTCCCGCCCTTGACCTGAAGGGCACACCGAACTTGGTGCGTGCATGAACCATGCTGCACCCTGTTTGGGACACGGGAACAAAGCTAGCCGTGTGCTCTTGGAGGACAGAGGACCCGAGGCGGCTCCCTTGGCCCAGTGAGGGAGACTCCCTTCTTACCCCGCATCTGCCCATCCTTCTGGAATCTGTAGTGTGGCTTCGATCTGGCCTCTTGGGAGAGGTGAAATACGGCTTCGCTTTGGAACAGCTGAGGTTTGCTCATGGCAGCAGAGGGGCTGGAGTCTTAAGTCTATGATGTGGCCGAGGCCAGCATTTCTTAGTAATGAGTCTTGCAGACATATCCCGGGAGAGGAAGTTAGATTAGGGCAAGGCAAGTGAATGAGATTGTTTAAAGGCTGCAAGGAGATTTAAAAAAAAAAAAAAAAAAAAGCAATTCCTCCTCAGTTAGGGTTGTGATGTTCTCTCTCTTGGGTGAATGCGCAGGCAGTGTGGGGTTAGGGCTCTCAGCCTAGACCTGGAGATTTCATGTCAGAGGAAATGAGGATGGTGGGAGTGGGGGTGGGGGGGATGGGGGAGGACTGTGTAGGAGCTGGATTATGGATTGTGAGCAATTTGCCGCTTTCCACGGAGCCTCCTGGGGCCAGCCTTCCTCACCTCCCATAACTGCGAATTACTCTGGTGCCTGAGCCGCCTCCTGGATTTAGCGTCTGCTGTACGTTGGAGGGGCTGCAGGGCTGGTGTTCACACCTGGGGCGGGGGAGCAGGGGCAGAAAAATGCCTTGTACCCAGCAGTCACTCTGTAATTAGTTATTGAGTGACTAAATGAAAAAGCTATTTTATGAGCCACTTTTTGACAGTCTATTGCCCCAGCGGAGTTGAAAATGGGCTCATTTTTGAGGCTCACAGCTGTTCTGTCCTCCCTGGGCTTCTCCTCAGGCACCGTGTACCATCTGGTGGGCATGAGATGCTTCAAGTCCCATAGCCAGCTGGGAAGGACGGGCTGGGAGGCAGTACTTCTGTTCCTGCTACTTCGATGTAAGCTGAATTGCTCATTTTACTTTTTAAGAGGGAGAAAGTTCCTCATTTTTTGTAGAGCTGGTGTAACCCAAAATAATGGAACCCGTGGGGAGACACGCCAAGCACATCTCAAGATAATCCACTTGCTTCCGATGGTGCTTTTGATTTAAACAGGGGTGGGATCTTTGCAAGACCAGGCTGCTTGGAAAGAGCACGTGATCTGGTCAGCCTGATGTAGGGTGGGATGTATCATCAGCCCTTGCAGGAGGACCGTGACCTACATCAACATTGGGTACGAAATCCCGGGTTGGTGGGATTTCATGGTGCAACCTTTGAGAGCCCTTCCATTATAATAATTGCTCAATAGTTGAATAAAGTTAGAGAAAAAGAGAGAGATGAGAGAGAAAGAGAAACAAAGATTCCTCCCCTCACCCCCCTAAGTAATGAGACTCTTGGATGAAGTTCCCTACTTACTGCCACCCAGATCTGGGGGAGAGGGGGGAGCTCCTGAATCCGGGTAGCAGGTTGGCATTTCTAATCTGAGCCCGGGTTAATCTGCTGTGTGTACGGGTTGTTGAGCGAACTGGTAAACTACCCGAGAGTCTTGCCTGCATGATGAACTGACACTAACTGACAAGACCTGGCGTATGACTCCAACCTCACTGAATTTCCTCTTTCTCCTGCCAGTGGTCGTGGCAGCCCAGGATAAGGTGACGGGGAGACCTCAAGGGCAAATGTGACATAAGGCAGAAGGGCAAATGTGACATAAGGCATCGTGAGAACTTCCAGCTGGTTGGTAGTGCCTCACGGGACAGGAGCCTTCTCTCGTAGGCTGGGAAGGCAGTGGGACCAGCACACGATCATGTGGATCAGTGTTCACTTTTCCAGATGCAAAGAGAGGAGACATGGTTACCTTGCATACATTTTGACAACATCCCTTGGGCAAGAGGTAGGTATAACTCACAATAGATAACCTCTGCTTTTGTTCCAGCGTTGTCTCCTTTATCTGCAACATGGGGGTGTTGAGTGATGCCACAGGCAGCTGGAAGGCCTCATTTATTTGACCTAATTATTCCCAATGTAGACCTGACTCATCAGAACGGGCTCTTCTTCAAAGGAAATGGGAGCCAGATTGTCTCCTTGGCAGCCATGGGAAACAAATGCTATCCACAGAATGGCTGAGATATTGAAAAAAGGCACGGTTGGCTTTTGGGGCCAGCTGCCATTTAACAGTGTGACCAGGAATGGAGGACTGGAGGGAGGGGAGTGTCAACTTCTGACATGCTAGCTGTCTCAAAATGTTCTTAATAAAATTAACTCACCTTTGGATGCCGTGGGCAAAAGTAACCCCATATGAAGAACCCAGGGAAAAATGGAAACTCTCAGTGGGGTGTTTTTTTTTTTTTAATATTAATAATTGAGTAAATTTCCATGGGTATACTGGGGGGACTTTTCACAGGGGAACCTTCTTATTTCTTGGTCCTCTCAGGTGCTCTATTGAAGAATTGAAGGATGGGGAAATGGAGAAGGGAGTTGAAATGACCCTCTTGTTGCCATTAGGCAAATCCAGCACAGAATGGGAGCGGCGTGCTGCATTCCCTCTCCGAACGGCCTGCCTTAGCTCAACGATGCATACCTGAACTTAACACTTCATCTTAGACAGTCGCCAGTTGTCCATACCGAAACGCAGGTGCACTGAAAATACTCATGTAACCCTTCCCCGGTCCCACCGTCCTGTTGTACAGTCGTGGTTAAGAATGCCACAACCCTAAGAATTCGGGAAAGATGTGCACTTGGCTGATCCCTGTGGCACCGTCTGGCTCTCGGCCTTTTGTGCAGCAATTCCCGAAGCACCGGACTGTGAAGATGCCCGACTGACAACATTGTTCCAGCGTCGGCCTGCTGTTGCCGGAGAGGAGCCTCCAAAGATGCCGTGTTTGAGCTCAGCCTGGATCCCCTCTGGGAGGAGGAGAGGGAATCCCACAAGCTATTCATTAAGAAGATCCTGTTGTTTGATCACGTCCTCTGACACCGTAGCCATGCACGCATAGAGGTGTAGTTGGCATTCTGACTTGTGCATAGTGCGTTTTCGTCTCTTCCCTGGAGTCCAGGCCAAAGCCTGAGGTTCCTTTTGACACAACTCTGCCCAAAACTCTGGCTTTGTGCTCTCCGGCACTCTGCAATAACATACCAGCTCTGTGGTGTGGCCAGTGTTTACTTAATTGGCGGGAGGACTTTTTAATCTCCAAAGGCAAACGTTTCTTCTGCATTCCACATAGGTAAGATGTGGTTTGCTGTGGTACCAGGGTAAGGATTTGGGGTGGGGAGGGAAGGAAGGAAGGAAAAACAATCCTTAGGGCTAAAGTCACGGAGGGGGTGGGTGGCCAAGAAAGAGAATCGAGTCATTGGGTGCGGGGGGGTGAGGGGGAGGGGAGAAGATGAAAAATCAACAGGCGTTGTTTTAAAGAGTCAGAACTGTGACTGACCATCTGCTCACTTTGCAGTTATTTCCAAAAATAGACGACTAGTGGTGAGAAGCAACTGGTTTCTGATGCTTTAGGAGTGGGTCAGGGAAGATGATTTCCAATTGTTGGGGTAAGATACAGGGTAGGCTGTATATCCAGGGGAAAGGGGTGGCTTAAGCTTTACGGTGCGTTGGATTCGATTTCACAGAGCTTTTTACTGGCTAGACAGCGCTGTTAGCTAAGTGAGAGGAATTCACCTGAGGATAAAAGGGGCTGGTGACCCGGAGCAGGCCCTTACAGGTATTCTGTACCTTGAATAGAGCTCATCTGCCAGCAGTGAAACAGTCATCAAGAAATGGGGCCCAGGGAGTACAAGGATGGCCAGAGGTGATACACCGCAGACCATCTGGGTAATGGGACGAGGTCCATCAGGGGGCGTTAGTGCTCACCTTCTTCACAGACCCCTGGATGAGCGGTGACTCCTAGGTCGGAGATTTCCTGAACCTGTCACGTTTCCTGGAAAAGAAGAGGTTGAGGGTGCCCTGTTTTCAGCGGAAGAACAACTTTGCTGTAAGTTGTGTTGCTCAATGGTAAATGTTTACACGTTTCTACAACTTTGATTTATTTTGATTGTGGTAATTCATAAAAGATGTTGTAGCTCCGAAGCTTGGCAGTTCCCCCAAAGCACAATCTGCCAGAGACTCTCCCCAGGATCTGCTTACCTATTAGAGAAACCAAGAGAGTCCCAGCAGGACAGAGGCGTGTGGATGGCAGAGAACATCTCTGGAGGTGAGAATATGGCAACAAGGGGTCCCGAGACATAACAAATGCCCCCGTCTGGCTTCTTTTCTGGATGCACACAGCGTCTCTACTTCTCTCTAAAACTGGGGCAATGCTAGAGGTATTCGTTTCTTGAAATGTTCGCAAGTCCTTGCAACGCAGTGCTGGGATTTGCAGTGATGTATGTAGACGGGACATGCCTCAAATGGAACGCTGCTGATTGAGTTTTAGTCCCGGGGGCTAACATTCCATCTTATGGATTATTGTGTCCAGCTTTCAAGTTCATGTTGAGCTCTGAACAGCTGTTAGGCCTTTGATGCTCATATCCCCAGAGCCCAATCATTCAGCTGACTGCTTTCAGCTGACTGCAGAGCCATGTGCCATGAACTCCGGGACTGACGTAGCAAGTCACAGCCCTGGTCTCGTTAGGACTGCTCTGCAAAGCTGAGGGCAAGGATACGCAGAGATGTGGGTTGATTTGTTCTTTTAATGCCGTTTTTTTTTTTTTTTTTAAGATCAAGTGAAACAATAGTATGTCATCATTAGTAGATTTCATAAACGTTTATTGGGCATCACCATATGTCAGGCCGAGATTCAAAGTTTAATAATACACAAAGCAGCCATTGAGGAATTTATACGTGGTGTATATTTCTCTCCCTTCACTAGACTCAGCTTGGGAAGCACGGTGTTATTCTCAGTTATCTTCTGATCTCTGCCATCCAGCATCAAGCCTGGCCCATGATGGGTATTTAACAAATGTTGAAACAGTATGCAAAAAGCAGTTTGCCTTGAGATTTTCCTTTCTTGCTCTCTAACAGCCTTGCCTCACGCATATCAACTGACAGATTTCCTCCTATCAAAATACCAGAACATCTTTCCCTCTAGATGCTTATTTCCTATTGCACCTCTTACAACTACTGTGAAGAGAAGCAAACTTTTTTCCTTTATGGCAAGAGGGACTTCTCACTAGTATCTATGATCATCCATAAAGGCAGACAGTTTTTTTGTCCTTTTGTTCACTGCTATTTCCCCAGCATCAAAAATATTGCCTGGGACATAGTAATCACATGTCAGTTCATGTCTTTGTAATTATTTGTTGAACGAATACATAAAATTGAAATCAGGACAAAAGATCTTGGCATATTAGACAGGTTCAGTTAAGCTATGTGGCAGTAACAAATAACCCTGGAAATCTCAGAGGCTGAACACATATAGGTTTGTTTCTCTTTTCCACAGAGCTGGCTGGGGATCCCGCTGCCTTCTAGATCAATTCCTTTCCCAGTGGTAACACCAGGATCCAGTATGACCGCATCCTGTAGCTAACCTGGAATGTATAGCTTTGGGCTTGCTCTTCTAGGGGAAGGGAGGGCAAAAGGGTTGCACACTGACTCATAAATGCTTTTGCCTGGAAATGATGCATGTCACTTCTGTTCACAGTCTTTTGGCTACATGGCTGGGAAATGTGGGTGAGCCCATGAGTATCTGGTGGGCATGCTCCACTAAATATGTTAGTCAGTGCTTGCTAAGTGATGCTGTAATACCTTAGGAAAGCGACTCTTTGTGTCCCACCCTTAGTCTTACCGCTTCGGTGCATGACGGCCAGCTTCCCAACGCGTATCTGCGTATCTTTGCCTGAAGTCTCTCTTGGGTCGCTGGATCTCGCTTTGGGCTCCTGCTTTGCCTTCAGCATAAGAGGCTCTGGGTGCCAGGAAGCCACCCTACGTCAGGCTGAGATTAAGGCTGAATAAGACACAGAGCAGCCATCGAGGAGTTTATACTGTTTACGTTTCTGTCTCCCTCACTAGACTCAGCTTGTTAAAGGCGGCATCGACTCAATCGATGACTGCTGGGCTTTAGTGTATAAATAGCTCAGCCCCGTCACTACTCAGCTGGTGGCATGACCGGGAGGTGCATTTTCTGCACTGGCTCCCAGAGACGGCAGGGGGGTTAAGCTCTAATTGTCCGCAGCGATGACTTACTTGATAACAAACCTATAACTGGATGTCTTCCCCTCCCCATCTCACTTCCTCATTCCCCTGACAGTGTTTCTTGCGATTTCCTCTCAAATAAACTGTTTACATTTGATTTTGTGTTTTAGGATCTTCTTAAGGAGGAGCTCCAAACTAAAATAGAAAGTTGCCTACATAGTTCTCCTTGTGTGTGTGTGTGTGTGTGTGTGTGTGTGTGTGTGTCTGTGTGTGTGCGTGTGTGTGTGTGTGTGTGTGCATGTATGAGCAGGGCGGGGTGGGGAGATTGATCATACGGATTTGGGAAGGGCGTAAGGGAGGTCTCCTCACTGTCTCCATCTGAGGAGCTGTTTAGTGGTTGGAATGAAGGAAGTGAATGGAATACAAGGGCAGGAAGGAGAATACCTGAGATGCCAGAAAGACTTTTTCCTGTCACCGTGTTGTTAAAAACATAAAACCTGGATCTTGTTATTACAGTATGGTCTCCCTGAAGTCCTGGGGAGAAAAGTTCTCGAAGGCTTTCTAAGGTGGACACTTCCCTGCCTGTCAACATGAAAGCCATGGTAACTGGAGTTTTGTGTTTCTCAGCACCTATTGGTGGGGTTCCGGAAGCACCTTTGGACACTGTTCTCAGAGTCCAGGCTGGGCAAAGTCCTGAAGTGGTGACAATGGTCTTCAGTTTTTCACCTCTCCTTTTAATGTCCTCTGCTCCTTTTTGGCAATCTCCTGTGTCCCAGGGTCAAATATTGCTGAAGTGACCTTATAATTTGTCATCCAAACCAGGCCTTTTTTGCTCTCAACTCCCAGTAAGACATCACATGAGCAATCCATACTTACTCAGCCGGTGGCGGCACCAGGATTTAAGGGGGTGCTTCCTTGCTGCATGTAGCACCCTGTGTCCCGCATTGACTGTGGCAAGGGGTTTCATCACAGAGAAGGGCCCCGTCTCCCGGGTGGGAATCAGGAAATGCAGGAACAGACTCTGGTCTGTTGCTCACTCATAGGGGAAATTTGGCAAGTCATTTTGTTTCTCTGGGGCTAAGGGTCAGTATCTATGGAAGAGAGGCTTAGGACTGGAGAATGATAATGATCATGGTAGTAGTAGCCACACTTTATATATTTAGTGGCTTAGACTTAAGAGCGTGGACTCTGAAGCCAGAAACCTGGGTTCAAATCCCAACCCTATCACTTACTCACATGAGATCTGGCCAAATTACTCATACATTTTCTTGGCAGTGTTACTATGGCACAAATGCCACATCATAAACTGTACGTACTCAGCGTGTACAATTTTTAAGTTTTGATATATGCATATGCCCATGAAACCATGAAACTCTGACTACAATCAGGACAATGCACCTGTACGTCACTTCCCTGGCAAAGTTTCTGCGTGTCCCCTCCAAATAGTCACCTCCCCATCCCGCCCCCACTGATTTCTCCGTCACTATACATTAGTTTGCATTTTCTAGAGATTCACATAAATGAAATCATGCAGTAGATTTTCTTTATGGCTTGACTACTTTTACCCTGCATCACTATTTTGAGATTCATTGTGTTTTGTATCAATAGTTCATTCCTTGCTGTTGCCGACTGGTGTTCCAGAGCATGGATACGTCGCAGCTCATTTGTCCACCTGCTGCTGGACATTTGGGTTGTTTGTGAATTTTTGGATATTGCAAATAAAGCTCCCTGAATATTTATGCATAATTCATTGCATTGATACGTGCTTTCTTTTCTCTTGGGTAAATAGTAGAATGGTAGGCTCCTAAGGTAGGTATCTACGTTAACATTTCAAGAAACGGCTACATCATTTTCTGAAGTATTTTTACGTTCTAAATTCTAAAGTAAAGTTTACATTTCCACCAGCAGCGTATAGGACAAAGATTTTAGTTCCTCCCCATCCCATTCAATGCTTGTTATGGGCTTTATTTTATTTTATTATTTCATTTTATTTTGGTATGGTCATTATTTTAAATAGGTGTGTGGGAGTATCTCATTGTGGTTTTAATTTTTTTTACTCACGATGAATGATGATGAGCATCTTTTTATGTGAATATTTGCCATCCTGTATCTCCTCAGATCCAGTGTCTGTGAAAACCTTTTGCCCGTTAAAAAGACACTGGTTTGTTTTCTTCTGTTTTGAGAGTTCTTTATATGTGCTAGATAACAACGCCCTTATTGGATACACAATTGTAAATGTTTTTCCCCATTCCTGTGATTTACCTCTTCATTCTATGGCAGTGTCTTTCCCAGAGCAGAGGTTTTAAATTTTGATGAAATCTGATTTATTGATTTGTTCTTTAAGGCCTAATCCAAAGTCAGGGTTTCCTCTTACTTTTTTCTTCTAGAAGTTCTAATAGTTTTAGATTGACCTTTAAGCTTATGATCCACTTTGAGTACATTTTTGTGTATGATGTGTGGGGTGTGGATTAAAGTGCAATTTTTTTGGCATATGAACAGCCAACTGTTCCAGCATTTTTGTTGAAAAGACTATTTCTTCTCCACTAGATTGCTTTTGCACTTTTTTTAAAAAATTTTTTTTTTCAACGTTTATTTATTTTGGGGACAGAGAGAGACAGAGCATGAACGGGGGAGGGGCAGAGAGAGAGGGAGACACAGAATCGGAAACAGGCTCCAGGCTCTGAGCCATCAGCCCAGAGCCCAACGCGGGGCTCGAACTCACGGAGCGCGAGATCGTGACCTGGCTGAAGTCAGACGCTTAACCGACTGCGCCACCCAGGCGCCCCAGCTTTTGCACTTTTTAAAAAATCAGTTGTCCACATGAATGCGTCTTCCGGACTTTCTATTATTTTCATCGTTTTTGTTGTTGCTGTTTTGTTGTTTACATTTATATCAATATCACCCTGTGCTGTAGGTTTATAAGAAGCTTGAACCAATGTACTGTTAGTCCTCCAATTTTGTTCTTCTCTTTCAAAGCCATTTTGGTTCTCCTAGGCCCTTTGTTGTGGTTATATGACTTTTACAATCAGTCTGACGGTTTCTACCAAAAAGCCTGCTGAGATTTTGATTGGAATTTTGTGGATTCTATACATCAATTTCAGGAGAATTGACAGCTTAAGACTATTGAGTCTTTTGGCCCACGATCATGCAAACTGGGACACATGTGAGAGTGGAAAGGAGGCTGCAAAAATTATTCAAGGACAGCCAGCACAAGCCCAGACTGTTCCGGGATGTACAGGCATCCTCTCGTGTGCCCTCTCGTCAGCCCACGTGATGACATCCTGTTGGTGGTATGGTTCCCAGAACTCTCGTCTCCTCCTGTCCACTTCAAAATTTATTATGCTTCTAATAGTGTTAACTTCATTCCTGGCAGAAATATCTCAATAAAGAAAACCCTAAAATCTCAGCATCCCATTGACAGTTTTTTCCTGCATGGCCAGAATGACAATGGGTAGCCTGATAAATCGATCCCTAGTAAGAATTAAGTAGCACATGTGTCATTCTATTAGCTTCTTGCTTCTCCTCACTTATGAATGTATCCAACTCATCTACTCTTTAACTTTTAAGGACTAATTCTAAAGGCAGGTTAGAAGGAAGGTGTTGAAAATAATTCCCTCTGAGTTGAATTAAGTAATAGATGTAAAATTCCCAGTACTATTTCTGGTGCATCCAAAGCCATCGGTAAACTCCTATCCCCTGGAGCACATCACAGCCCTGGGAAGTCCCTGCATGGAGTCAGGAAGGGCTTTCCTGGGGAGGGAGGGCAGGATGTGAACCCTGGTCTTCCTATATTCTTCTGGGTGGATCAAAAGCAACGCTCATAAAAAGTTGGCAAAAGAAAACTCAAAATATATCGTAGCAAAAAATCTGGATTAGTTCTTCTTGGTATCACTGCCAGCCATCTTGCAAGATACTTGAGGACATGACCTTCATTGTTCTTTGCTGCCATGCACTCAAGGGTCAGGGTTTGGGTGGTGTAGAAAGGGGGTGGTAATGTTGAAGCCCTTTGCCGTTACTATGAGCAGGAAGTGAAATATCAAGGATGTCATTCAAGAGTTCTCTCTCCGCTTAATTCTGTATCACTCTGGCTTCCTGTGTATCTCTTCTGTGCTATGCTCCTTTCGGTGAGGCTCTGAATCCATTCAGGTGGTCAAGATGATGAGCTCAGCTGGTTAGGCTCTGGGGCTAAGGAAATCAAGGTCACAGGTTCAGTCTCCATATGAGCCAATTAACTCTGCAGACAGAGAAATCCATCCAAGTCCTCAGATTGCCTCACTGACTCTCACCAGCTGGCTTGAAAAATTGTACTCTGTGGGGCCTGGAACACGGATGGCTGAGTAACAGGCCTATCCTTAGTCCTGGAGAATTCTCCCTGGAGGAGGCCCTCCAGACGTTAGAAACCACTCATTAGATTCTGGTATTGTTCATTAATATGGCTGCACTTCACTTCAAGGCCTGGTGTTTATCCTGAAGTAATTTACGAGCGACTGAGGATTTTGCATTGTGGTAAAAGTTGATTGTTGATAGTGTACCAGCCTACTTGATAAATGATTCCTTGCTTCAGTATGCTGGAATGCAGAGGCAGCTGCGTGAGACTGGAGTGGGGAGGCCAAGGGCCAGCAAGCTGGAGCTTCAGATGGTGAGTCATTCATTTAAAAACTTCCTTCGCGTGCCTCCCATGGGCCAGGCACGGTTTTTGATACTAGGGATACTGGGAATGTAAGTATTCCTTATTTCCACGCATGTTTTTAATGCCTATTCCATGCTAGGCATTATATTGGACCCTTAAGGGCACAGCCGAGAAGGAGACAGTGTGCTCTCAAGGTGATCTAGGTTTAGGGCAGGGGAGCTTAACCTTTGCCACGTGATGAGGGACCATAAGGCAAGCTGAGGGCCAAGCACAAACTAGCACAACCCTCCCCACCCCCAGGTGGGATTTGTGCAATATTCCTTAGGAGGTCCTGGCCACCCAAGAACAAAGGAAAGGGTGGAAGACAAACCGTTAAACTGATAGAGTCTCTAGCAGTTTACAAACATCTTAGCAATATTACAAGAAAAGGCAATCTTATCAATAGCCTAATCTCCAGGAACTCCCTACTATTTTAAAGACAATGCTTTGCTTTAGCTTGGCCTCCAATAATCTGTAAATCCTCTTTAGCATATGGAAGTCTCTTTAAGAAACTTCCTCTTGACTTTCCCTCCCCCAGCTCCACAGTATATAAGCAGGTCACAGCCCCAGCTCAGCTCTTTCTGCCCACGGGTCCTGTCCCCCACGCTTTAATAAAATCACCTTTTTGCACCAAAGACATTTTTAAGAATTCTTTCTTGGCCGTCGGCTGGGCTCTGGACCCCCACCCCTCCAAAACCCCCTCACGTGGACTCTCTTGGCAGTCTTGTGAAGTCTATGGAAGGCTTCTCAGAATAATACCTTTAGATGCATAGAATAAGCACATGAGATTACAGAGGAAGCCAGTTATAATACAATACAGTTGTCAAAATATTAAACAAATACATTCGTGCTAAGTGCTAAGTATTGGACATGTAACCATGGTCCATGTGTGTTCACAGCTCCTCCTCAGGGCCGCT